TTTTCCCCACAAATTGAACTTTCTTTCGGTGGTATTTGATCGCCTGTGCGGTTTTTTATTTTTTGCGCTATAAAAAAAAAGGCTGACAATTTTGAGGAAAAAAAAAAACAATATTTTGGACTTTTTGCTATAAAACATGTCCAGTAAAAAAAAAAATGCAAAAATCAAATTTAGTCATAAATTTCTGCCAAAATGCATTCTGCGACATGTCTTTGCTAAAAAAAACCCAACCCGTGTAAAATAATTGGTTTACGTGAGTTATAGCGTTTACAAATGGCGGGAAAGATACTGGGATTTTTAGGGTTTTTTTATACTAATAATGGCGGCGATCAGTGATTTATGGCGGCGATCAGTGACTTATGGCAGCGACCAGCGACTTATGGCGGGACTGCGGCGGACATTCTGACATTGGGGGGTACTGACTTGGGGTCACTGACATCCCCAAAAACACTAATACAGTGATCAGTGCAAAAAGAAAAACACTGACACTGTACTAATGGCACTGGGGAGGAAGGGGCTAACTTTATTTTGCAGGGAAGGGTTATCTGAGTGAGGGGGAGCGTTTTACTAGGGGGCGGGGGTGTGTGTGCTGCACAGGACACCATTGATCGAGATAGAGAAACTCTTCTGTCTCGATCAGCTCGTCCTTGAGCTGACAAGGAAGTGACAGACAGCACAGCTACTGCAGCTGTGCTCTCTGTCACTGTTTACCGCCGATCGCCGGGAAACAGCCGCTAAGGGCCGGCTGTGACCTGGCGACTGACATCTGTGGCGGTGATCGGCGGGACAGATAGGGCGGTGGCGCGCCTTGCGCGCGCCTCCTATCTGTTTACAAACCACACGTTTTAAAACGGGGTTTTGCCTGCCAGTGCCGCCCTGCCACCGTATTTCTACAGTGGCAGGGCGGCAAGTGGTTAAATACATTGACCAGTGTGAGAGTGCCCCTATTTGAAATGGTGTTCTCCCTAGTTTCCAGAAATCTACCCTGCACCTACTACTACAATGCGAGGGATTAGAGTTACCCCATTATCAGATTTCATATTGGTCAGCTGTCCTAGTTGTGGTTAGATGATGGTTCACAAGGTCCAGGTACTACTGCAGCTGTTAGCTTTGAGGCTGTCATTCTGGGTTCCCTTATGGAATTTATTAATCTAGTGTACAGGGGGTCCAGAGAGTATGCCAACCTTCTAAGATCCAGAACAACTATGCTGTAACTGAGTGTAAGTAAAGTGTCAAAATAGCTAATCTCCATATTTGTTCTGGATCAAGGTCTGCTTCACTCCTCTGTTGTCCACTGGGTGTGGATGAGTATGTCCAATGGAGGCCACAGTTGGAGAAGGCAGCTATAGAGGCAAAGTCAGATTTCTGATGCCAGGTTTCAGAAACAGCATGTTCTCTGCATTAAATTAAAAAAAACCTTCTGTGTGCAGTTCCGTCCCTGCCCCCCCCCCCCCTTATATGAGGTGTGACATTTTAATTCCAAGAATGGACTGTTAAACAAAAGGTTTGCTTATCTATACACTAGGGGCTGTGGTCACATTCAAAGTAGTCCCCTGTGAAACTACTCACTTTTCTAGACAACTGTGTTACTGCCGGAAACATTCCTGGAATTCACATTGCCAGGAACTTGTGAACACTTAACACATCATGTGCAGGAGCATTGTCGTGGTGGAGAATCCACTTGTCAGGCCAGAGTTCTCGTCTTGTCCTCCCAATAGATTCCCGTAACTTTTGTCCACATCCATCCTTTGCATTTTTGACAGCCCTTTTCTTGCATCATTGTGGACATCACCCCACCCCTCCTTAAACTACGTATGGCATTCAAAAATATTTGCTTTTTTTCATGGATTCTTCACCATAAGCCTATTGTAATAGAGCTGAAGTTTCAATTGCACTTGCCTAAATATCACGCAAAATTTGATGTTAATCCACTGCTCATGATTCCTGTCACTTATTTTTCGCCAACAGCAGGCACACATGTGGTCATTCTTCTACTGCTACATAAAGACTTAGTCAACTGGTCTGTGACCCAGGTGAGTGCAAATTAGAACATGTCAGAACACGCTGGAGTGTAAATGGCTATGTGACTCACCACCACAGTGCTACGCCACGGGCATACCAGAAATTAAATTGTCACACCTTGTACTTACCTGCGCCTGATATTGGTACAGCTATGTCCTCGAGATCAGCATTGATGATCTCTCTCTCTCTCTCTCTCTCTCTCTCTCTCTCTCTCTCTCTCTCTCTCTTTCTCTCTCTTCATTTGCTCAAAGGCAGCATTTGGAGCTATTGGCTCCTGCTGCTGTCAATCACAGGCATTGAAGAGGGAGGATAGATCTGAGCCACACTGTGCTTGCTATGGGGGCATTCAGCAGGGTAGAGGAACTAGGAGATCCAGCAGAGGAGTAGAGAAGGGAGGAATCAGGACTGCTCTGTGCAAAACTATTGCACAGAGCAGGAAAGTACGATATATTTGGCTTTTTTAAATTATTTTTTTAACTTTACAATCACTTTAAGGAGATAAAAGTTGTAGACAGAGGTGAGCTTGTGACAGACAGAACAGGATTTCCCAAGAGTGTATATGTAGAAGGGGCTGGTTCTTGGAAACAGGAGATTGGAAATTAGAATGTGTGGATTGCAGCTGTGACCAGATGAAGGAAGGTGCTTTCACAATTTAGCATTGTGTTGAGGTGCATTAATTAATTTGTGTTAAAATGCATTGCATTAAGACATTTTGAATGGGTCACAAATACACCAAAATGTTGCCCAAAATTGACATGCACCGATTATTTTCCAACATAAAACTCAACAATGTACATCATAGTGTGTGTTGTGTTAAATTTTGTATTTTAATTTCCATTACCACAACACAAAAAGTGAAGTGAAAAAGTGTCTGGTTTAGCTAACATTTTAACTACTAGAAAAATATAGTGTGTGTGTGTTTTTTTTTTATAACCTATGTACTAATCTGCTACAGAGCATAGTTTACTGATTAGACGTATCAGGAGTGTGGGTCTCACACCCCCATAATATGCAGATAGTGGCAGCTTGAGCTTTTGTTCCTGTTTTCGGTGTCCTGACAGGAGGATTTTGGGTTCTATCATTATTGACCAGCATGAAAGATGATAATTCCTTTGTTTGCATCTTCTCTCTGCTCTAAGTATGAAGGCAAACAGCTTCTGCTGTGCTGGGACAGAGGTGGACCGCCAGACCCAGAGGAATCATAAGCTACCAAACAAACAGAACAATATTTCAAAGCATATGTGTGGCCGGTTCTCTTGTAATTATCAGATCATGTTTAACGAGTGATGCACTTACTAAATGTATGCTATCACAATCCTTGACTAAGGGCAACTAATTACAGTTTGGTATACATGCTCCTAGGTTACCCAGCTTGGTAACTTACTATTACTATCCGGCTAGTTCTTCTGTTTTCTTTGTCAAGTATATTGACACCTTTCACTTGCTTTGGCAACATTCTATTAGCCTGCTATTAGTTGAACTGCCCTCCTGGCAGTGGCGTCCCGAGGCAGGTGCGGGGGTGCGTGCTGTACCAGGTGACACCGATCGTACGGGGTGACACCTGACCCGCTCCACGAAAAGGTAAGTTGTAAAGCAAGCCAATGATCCCCGCAGGATGGCTAATTGGCTAATTAGGTACTGCAGTTCAGACTTTAATATTGCTTGACAACGTTGCCAGTTTTAATGGTGGAAGGTGAAGGTGTTTATCTGTTTTTATTTTTTCATTTGTGATTTATTTGTGAGATTACTTTTTATAATTTTTCCCACATTAAAAAATAATAGATTTTTGTAAGTCATGCTGCATGGACCCTTAAAGTGTTACTAAACCCAGGACCCTGCATTCACTATATCTAGTCTCCCACAGTACACAGAACACGGAAATGCAGTTATTTTAGTAAATATAAACTGCTAAATACCTTTTCTCATCAGCAGTTAGAGCAGCCTTGTGACTTCTATCAGTGTCCAGCTGAGCACATGTTAAAGCTTGGCTTTACTATGGAGGAGTTTTAATTTTGCTCTAGGCTAGGAGGATGCAGGACCCCTGACCTCTGTTTGGACGGTGATGATTGGCCCTGTGCTGATCACATGCACTCTCCCAAGAAAAAAAAAAACTCTCTAGTAATACCCACCAAACTGAGCATGTGCATAGTGACTCCACGCAATATGTCTTATCAGGAGATAATAGGTGGGGGGGCCATTGGAAGAAGGGGAGGATCGGAGAAGTCAGGATCAAACAGTGTTTTTACACAATGCTGAGGATTAACCTCTTAGGTTCCACAGTGAGTATAACAAGCATGCTTTACTGCATATACAGACTGATTTTACTGTTGTGGATTTAGTAACACTTTAAGGCAACCTTCTTTACCAGTAGGTTCTTTACCGCTAGAATTTTTTATGTCTCTTTTATCCCTGTTGTTCATGTCAGACAGTTAAATATGCACAATAATGATGCATCTACAGAAAAGATGTATTCAGATTTTCAGATTGAAGATTAACAAGTATTTTATAGTATATTGCAACTTGTGTTATACAGTATAATTATGCTTTGGACCTCAATCACTCTGCAGAAAAAATTCCCTTAAAGTCCTTTTTTCTTTTAACAGGTGACAAAGTCATCCCACTTTCTATTCCTCAATGTGAATCATGCAGAGCCTGTAGAAGTTCAAACAGCAACTTCTGCACTAAAAATGAGTAAGAATATTATGTTGCCTACACTAATTTTGTCTAGCCTCCCTGCAAGATATTGCTATATGAGAACGTGTGAAAGATATCTTATTTCCATGCCCATTCAATTATTGATAGTTGTGTCTTGCATTGTTCCAATGTAACCAATCACCTATAACTAAAATATAAGTTACGTGGAATAAGCATTTAGCATCCATGACTTTTTTCAAGTTGAACAAAATATTTAATAGAGTTGGAGTAATGTTCTAAAACTCTTGTCATCTAATTTTTCTAATATTGTTTTACTAAACAGTATGGGTGCCAGATCGGGACTGATGGCGGACATGACCAGCCGATTTACTTGTAAAGGCAAAACTGTTTACAACTTAATGGGTACAAGCACTTTCACTGAATACACTGTTGTGGCTGACATAGCAGTTGCCAAAATAGATCCTCAAGCCCCTCTTGAAACCTGCATTATTGGCTGTGGATTTGCTACTGGATATGGTGGAGCTGTAAATACTGCAAAGGTAATTATCTATATTATTTTTTAATAACAAAGGGATTAGAACAACTGTCAGATGTTTATGGAGAGGTATTAGAACACCTGTCTTATGCTAATTGTTGCCTGTGCCCCCCCTGTTAGGGAGATTCACCTTCTCTATTTGTCCTGTTTACTGTTACCACCGAGAGTGAAAATTTAAGAAAATAAAACATTTTGGGTTGTCATCAGAATAGAATTAGAGAGGAAATCTTTTGATGGGGACACTACTTCTGGTAACCCTGGTGACATCCAGGGTTGCCCCCCCGTACTTTTTTTAACTACCTCCCATCTGGCCGATGTATATAAATGGCCAGACGGTGGCAGTGCAGGGTCGGGTGGTCGTTTATAAACGGCCTCCCTGCACCCTGCTTGTGCACGCTCCCTGGGAGCGCGCAGCACCATGAAGCGGTACCCACTGTGTCCTCCGGACACAGTGGAAATACCGATTGTCAGACGGGACCTCTGTGCGAGGTCCCAATCATGTGATCCCTGATTGGCCAATCAGTGATTACATGCAGAGTAGTAAGCAAGATGTCCCTTCTGACATCATTGCTTACTACGTGTGAAATCTGTGAATGATCACAGAGGTCACATGGTACAAGACTATTCACAACAGCCTTGTACCATGTGACAAGCTGTGACCAATCACAGCTCACTCAGTAGTTCTCAATGGCTGCAAGAATGCAGCTAAAGAGAAGGAGAAATGATTGCTTTTACAGCCTTTATGGGTGTAAAAGCAATCAGTGTAAAAACAAAATGCTAAACAATTCATATGGGTATAGTGTTGCATGACTGCGCAATTGTCATTCATAGTGTGATAGCACTGAAAGATGAAAATTGGCCTGGACAGGAAGGTGGTAAAAGTGTCCAGACTGGAAGTGGTTAAGAGAAAAAAAGAATATTTACTGACGTAACACAGGTTTTACTGACATCCTGAAATATGACAGAAACTCCTATTATAAAGACAATTCATATTTAAACGTTAACAACATTCATAACAAGTAATCTACCTGACTTTACAATTAAAAACTCAAATCAGTGACAAAGCATGACAAAGATATTTAAAGGCCTGCAGCACCCTGAGACAAACCAGAAAAAAAGGTCTGCAGCATGCATAGTGCACCATGGTGATTGATGGGCATGGCCAGATTTTGTCCAGCAGTGGGAGGGGCTTCAAGGGAGCTCATTAAACAGAATCTGTGCCTACTTGCTATATACACTGCACACATATAACACAGTCCTTAGATCCACAAAATAGTCCTACTTACTCTATTAAACTGACAGCCTCACAGACACAAATAAACTCCAGGACAAAGGCTAATTTTTTATAAAAATTAAACGTTTCCATGTCATTTAATTTTATGCACAAAAAAAGGATATTACATTGTAAAATCCTACATTACCTTGCCTATCTTAAAGAAGATTTTCATTAAAACCAGCAACTGTTCAGACAATGAACACCTTGGTCAGGACTATGTAATGTGAAACATAATGTATAGATTCAGGAGGAGTACAGTAAATATCATACAAAACAGCATATAGCATGCAGCAGTCAGGATGAACCCTCTGTATACATCAAAGTCACCCTTTACATCAAAGTCCCCACAGTCCCGTCTTACATCTAAGTCCCCAGAATTACCCTATACATTAGGGTTCCCAGATTCTCACCTTACATCAGTGTCCCCAGAGTTCTGCCTTACATCAGAGTCCAGAGTATTCCCCCTTACATCAGAATCCAGAACCCTTTACACCAGAGCCCCCTTTACATCAGTGTTCCCCCTTACATCAGAGTCCCCAGTGTTCCCTTTTACATCATTGTCCCTGGTGTTCTCTCCTCGATTTAGAATCCGTAGTATTCCCCCTTACATAAGAGCCCTAAGAGTTCCTCTTTACATCAGAATCCACAGAGTTCCCCTTTACACCAGAGTCCCCAATGTTTCCCCTTACTTAAAAGTCCCTAACATTACCCCCTTAAATCAGATTCCCTAGTGTTCCCCCTTAAATCAGAGGCCACAGAGTACCTCTTTAAAAAAACATAGTCCCCAGTCTTCCCGCCTTACATCAGAATCAGCAGCATTCTCCCTTACATCCTATTTTTGGATGGGAGCAGTGGATCACTTGGCAGAAGGTGGTATAGCAGTGGCTAGAAGGCATTCAAGAGACATTACTGTCATCTCCTGAGGCCTGTTTATTTATTTTTTTTACTTTTTTTTTAAATTGCCAAATGTCAATTGCAACTGCATATGGGACAATGCAACTGCAACTGTGAGCCACTTAGCTTGCAGATGCGGTGAAGCCCCATTGATCTCAATTGGCGAGTTTGACAAGCGGTGCAAAGCATCACAGCTGTGGCATGCGTGCAGCCCTTTCAGGCTGTAATGTTAGAATTCTTATGGGCAGTTGGGGGAGGTAAAACCATGGCTCAGCCAGGATTTTTTTTCAGCCTCCCAGTCACTAGTTTCAAATAACTGTTAATTGTCCAAGATATTGGATCATGGAAGACATGTAAATCCCGGTGTGTGATGTTTATATTCTTTGCTGTGTGTATACAGATTCATTTACACACATTATTGTACAATAAGCCCTTCTTCCATTCCATACACAGATTTTATTTCTTGTCTGCTCCCATGCAAAAATAAATTAGAAACTGTGACCTTTAATGGTGTTAGGATTGCAGACAAAACCTTTACCAGGCTGTTCACCTTTGGGTACTGTATTTGAACACAGTTGGCTCTTATTATTTGTTCACAAAATAGGGATGTTGGAAACCGCCCACATTCTCATTGCACAGTAAAACCTAATGTTTTAATACAATGCATGTAAAATAAATAGAAATGTGCACGTTTTCCCACACAAGGAAGCCCAGTTCCCCCATTCCACCCTTGTCCTCCCCAGAAACCTTCTTGGAAGTATTTTTTTAACACATGACTTTTTCCAGGTGTCAATAAATTATATGATGATGATGAGATCTTCCTCACCTCTTCACACACAATGATCCTCAATGATGTAGATTCATCATTGTACTATAAGTAAAGTCAACTATGGTGTGGCCACCAACTTTTCCCAGGGAAATGGGTTTAATGATCCTGGGCATCATTCAACTCAGAAGAGGACCAGTACTGGTGAGTCTGCCAGGGGCAGCATCAGAGAGGAGGTAAGTATTGCAGCCAGAGCTCACTTTTTGTTACATTGCTGGGGCATAATTAAAAATATCAAACAAACTAGCTGGGTTTTAAAATAAGAGTTTTTAATAACTTTCAGTGTTTTTCCCCTAGGTAACTCCAGGTTCTACCTGTGCTGTCTTCGGGTTAGGAGGTGTTGGCTTCTCAGCCATAGTTGGATGCAAACATGCTGGGGCTTCACGTATTATTGGGGTTGGAACTCATAAAGACAAATTTCCAAAAGCCATTGAATTGGGAGCCACAGAATGCCTAGACCCCAAAGATTATGATAAACCAATCTATGAGGTCATTTGTGAGAAGACTAATGGAGGTGTAGATTATGCCATTGAATGTGTTGGGCGCATTGAAACTATGGTATGTAAAAACATATAAATGCTATCATTCAAAATATATTTAAATGTATATAAACTACTCTATTACCAAACAATCCAGAACTTGACTTACCACCAGGGGCGGACTGACAACTCATGGGGCCCCCGGGCAATAGAGGATCATGGGGCCCCTGTGTCCTTGCCCAAACTCAAAAAAACCTATGAAAAAGGTACCAGGAGCATTTCATGGGGCCCCCTATTGACCCTGGGCCCTCGGGCAGTGCCCAAGTTTCCAAATGGTCAGTCCACCCCTGCTTACCACTTACATTCTTTAACCAGAATTACCTACCTTTTTAGCCAAATCTTTGATTTACACACCCATGATATACTTGAATTAACAAACATCAGTCGAAACAATTGTATCAATCATATTATTAATAAAATACAATCATAATTATGACTGTAACAATACCAGCCAGTCACATCATCAGGAAACTGCGGTACTGTAACAAATTACAATGCTGTGAAATGTTGATTATATTGTGTTATAAATGCATTTCATGTTTGTTCACCAATACCAATTGGTAAATATTGATAAAAAAATTAGGAAAGTGAAATATTGAATGAAAATTTTGAATATTGATTAAAACATTTACATTGAAAATAAATGTAATATTTTTTTTAATTTTTAAATATATTCACTGTATTTAATTATAAAATGATTTAGTACTCTTGTCAGGTGTATGCACTTTACAAAACAGATTGGTGGAATACAACTGCAAAATACAAATCTACAAATTAGCTGGTTCAGATACAATGATATTGTGGATTCAGATTAAACACGGGACATCAGTATTAAATTGAAAGTATCTGAAAAGTCATAACTAAGTATATGCATCTTTTAAAACCTTAAATATACCTAATATCACTAAGTATTCTTACGTGGCACACCTTATATATCTGGTTTCTTGGACAATGTATTGGTCTCGAAATCAATGGATGGAACTGAAAAAATTGTGGCTAGCTCCTGTACACCCTAATTCCTTAGAGTGTTACTTAACCCATGACCCTGCTCTCACTATATAGAGAAAAACAAATAGAGGGCGCTCCGGCCTAGTGCATTACCTTAAAAATATGTTTAATGATTGTAAATAATAAGTATTGTACTCACAAATGGTCAATAAATAAAAGGCACATCATGAAGGAACAGCTCTGTCCAATTCACACTGCATGTCTGTCTGTAGTGAGAACTCTGGACATCCAAAAGGCTGATGCGGTTCGAGGACTAGCCTCTTTCTCAGAGCCAAATGACTAGATGTCATCTAGTCATTTGATGTAATCTGTCATGCAGTGTGAATTGGACAGAGCTGTTCTTTTATGATGTGCCTTTTATTTACTGACCATTTGTGAGTAAAATATTTATTATTTACATTCATTAAACATATTTTTAAGGTAATGCACTAGGCCGGTGCGCCCTCTGTTTGTTTTTCTCTATTCAGTACTTTGGACTCCCCTGGTCCTTTGAGGGCAGCAAGGTGTGCATATTATTATTATTATACAGTATTTATATAGCGCCAAAAAGTTTGCTCAGCGCTGTACATTAGAGTGGGAGACAGTACGTGAGACAATACGGTAACAATACAATACACGAGGGGTTCGAGGGCCCTGCTCCTTGGAGCTTACAATCTAGGAGGGAGGGGATAGTGGTACAGGAGGAAATGGCTGTGGAGCATGGAGTGGTAGGAGTGGAGGAGATCAGTAGTTAGGTGAGGGCGGGGTAGGCTTCCCTGGAAGAGATGAGTTTTCAGGGTGCGCCTAAAGGTGATCAGGGTAGGTGACAGTCTGATAGTTTGGGATAGTGAGTTCCAGAGGATGGGGAAAGCCCTGGAGAAGTCCTGGAGTCGGGCATGGGAGGAGGAGACCAGGGAGCTAGAGAGTAGGAGGTCTTGTGAGGAGCGAAGAGTACGTGTTGGGAGGTATTTGGATATCAGGTCGGTGAGGTAGTTTGGGGCAGTATTATGAATAGCTTTGTACGTCAGTGTTAGTAATTTGAATTTTATGCGTTGGGCAATTGGAAGCCAGTGGAGGGAATGACAGAGGGGGGTGGCGGATATGGAGCGGTTGGTAAGGTAGATGAGTCTGGCCGCATAGTTCAGGATAGACTGGAGCGGGGATAGCCTGTGATGAGGTAAGCCGATAAGGAGGGAGTTACAGTAGTTGATTTGTGAGATAACAAGGGAGTGAATGAGTTGTTTAGTAGTTTCTGGGTTAGGAACCTGCGTATTTTGGAGATGTTGAGGAGGTGGAGTCTGCATGAATTTGCCAGCGATTAGACATGGGTCTGGAAGGACAGATTGGAGTCTAGAGTGACACCTAGAACTTTGGCTTGCGGGGTGGGACTGATGGTGGCGTCGTTGGTCATGATGGAGAGGGTGGGAGGGGGCGCGGGTTGGGGGGAAAACTAGGAGCTCAGTTTTGGAAAGGTTTAATTTGAGGAAATGGAGTGACATCCAATCTGATATGTCATTCAGTAGGCAGGTGATTTGGGCAGAGACTGAAGGGGTGAGGTGAGGGGTAGAGAGGTAGATTTGCGTGTCATCGGCGTAGAGGTGGTAGTTGAAGACGTGGGAGTGTATCAGCTGGCCAAGGGAGAAGAGGAGGGTCCCAAGGACAGAGCCTTGAGGGACCCCAACAGAGAGGGGGAGAGGGGGAGGTGGCAGCATTATAGGTAACACTGAAGGAGCGCTGGGATAGATAGGAGGAGAGCCAGGAGAGAGCGGAGTCTCTGAGGCCAAGAGAGTATAGTTTTTTAAGGTGGAGGGGGTGGTCAACTGTGTCGAAGGCCACAGAGAGGTCGAGGAGTAGGAGCACTGAGTAGTGGCCATTAGCTTTGGCGGTTAGCAGGTTGTTGGAGAGTTTGAGTAGGGCGGTTTCGGTGGAGTGTAGCGGACGGAAGCCAGACTTGAAGGGATCAAGGAGTTTGTTGTCATTGAGGTGGGAGCTTAGGCAATTATAGACTAAGCGCACGAGGAGTTTTGGATGTAAATGGCAGCAGGGACATGGGTATAAGGTTGTTTAGGTCGGTGGGGTCCAGGGAGGGTTATTTAAGTATGGGAGTGATGTGCGCGTGCTTTAGAGGGGAGGGGAATGCACCAGTAGAGAGGGAGAGATTGAAGATGTGAGTGAGGGAGCATAGGATGGAGGAGAAGGGTGACCGTAGGAGTTGTGTGGGACAGGGTCAAGGGGGCAGGTGGTGAGGCGGGCTTCGGAGAAGACCTTAGTGACCTCTTCAGTGGTATATGGGCATATGGGCAGCACAGTGGCTAAATGGTTAGCACTTCTGCCTGGCAGTACTAGGGTCGCCGGTTCAAATCCCAACCACCGCACCACCTGCCTGGAGTTTGCATGTTCTCCCTGTGCCTGCGTGGGTTTCCTCTGGGTACTCCGGTTTCCTCCCACACTCCAAAGACATGCTGGTAGGTTAATTGCCTCCTGGCTAAATTGGCCCTAGTATGTGTATGTATGAATGTGAGTTAGGGACCTTTTAGATTGTACACTCCTTGAGGGTTAGGGACTGATGTGAATGTACAATATATATGTAAAGCGCTGCATAAATTGATGGCGCTATATAAGTACCTGAAATAAATAAATCAATAATCCCAAGAATTTCGATATGTGGTCCTAATGACATTGAGTCCATCCCCCAAGCGCAGGAGTAACTGGGTTTTCCACTTCTACCCTGCTCTCACTATATCTGGTCTCCCTTAGTACACAGAAATGCAATTATTTTAATAAATATAAACTGCTTAATACCTTTTCTCATCAGCAGCATATAGCAGTCGTGTGACTTCTATCAGTGTCCAGTCAAGCACTGGCTAAAGCTTGTAGTAGGAGTTTTCTTTCTGCTCTGACTGTCCTATGAGGCTGCATAACCCCTGACCCTCTGTCTAGATTTGGTCCCAAAGTGCCTCCTAGGGCTTGAAACTATCAGGGGTTGGGATTGGGGCCCAGAAAAAGAAGGGGAGGATCAGAAAAGGGCAGGTTTCAAATACCCTTTTTTAAACATAATGTGGAGGTTTAAACCCCCTTTTGGGTTTCCCCACAGTGAGTAAAAAAAGCAGACTTTTTTTACGGGTTGCAGTTTAGTAACATTTTAAATTTCCTTTTTTTTGGGAGCCCCTTCTTTTGCGTTTTAAAGGGCCCTTTCCGAAATTTTTTCCAAAAAACTTGGCAAACCCCAAAAGATACATTTCACCCTATTTCTTTAAAAAACCCTTTACTGCCCATTTTTTGTGAAAGTCCAAATTTTCCCTGATATTTTTGCATACATTATTTGATATTTGCTTTGGAGAACAAACGTTTGCTTTTTTTTGGGAGGGGCTTTTAAAAAAACTCACACTTGGGCGGTTGTTTTTTTTCTAATTTTTCAAAAATACATTTTTTTTACAGCCTCCCTTTTTTTGGTTTTAACTTTGTGATTAACCTTTGTTCGCCTTTAGGTTTACCCTTTGTATTTTTTCCCTTTGGACCCCTTTTTAAAAGAGTAGGGTTTGGGAAGGCCCTTCTAAAAAGCCTTAATCCCCAAACTTTAAAACAGTACAGTTGAAAAAAAAAAGTATGTAAAACCCCGGGGGATTACGTGGAGTTTTGCATAAATGGGTTTAAAATGTGCTTTCCCCCGTCATCTAAGTCAAAAAATAAAAAAAACCAGTTTTTCCCTTCCCATAATACCTCACAAAATTTTTTAATGTTCCATGGTTTTTTTGCCATGACATGTAAAAATTTCACAGGGGGGGAAAAAATTTTAAAAAGGGTAACCCTTTGGGGACCTTAAAAAACCGGTTGACACCCTGGGGGCAGCAAAAACCCTCACCCAAAACTTTCCGGTATTTTGCAGATCAGACCTGCAAAACGATCTGGATTAATTTTGGACCCCCTCCTCTTCACAAAACTGTTTCAGTGAAAGCAATATTCTTGGGGATTTTTTGGTGTAAATTTCCTTTTTTTTTTTTTTTTTTTTTTTTTTTAATTTTAAAATATTTATTAAATTTTTCTATTAAT